CATATTATTATACTGTTAAAGAAATACAGCAATAAAATGACTCCCAGTGACACAGTGTTATACCCATAGATCAATGCATCTCTCAACCCCCAACAAAGAAGCTTCTTGTAGTGCATGGGAATTAATGCAGAGACCCACAACTAGACAGTATCCAAGAATGAGAACCTTTCTCAGTTCTACATAGCATTTCTTCATCAACTCCTTCCTATCAAGGCCCCAGGGATCTATGTGGAACAGGAGGTAGAATGGAAGACTCCAAGGAAATTGTCTTCCAGATACAACAAGACTATATGCACATATGAACTCACAGAGACAATGGCAGTACTCACAAGAACTTTATACAGGTTCAAGCCAGACAGGGTCCCACCCCTAATGAAGAAGATGTCTGCAATTGATACCCACTGGCAAAGGGATAATCAGTTTCCTCCAATGGAGTCTCACTGGGTATATAAACCACATTCCAGGGCAGGCCCAGAGTAGTTGGCCAATATGAAAGGTACTCGTTGGTATTTTTATGAACTTTGTGTTTTATTTTGCTTTTTGGGGCTTTTTAAAAAAAATCTTTTTGGTCTTGCCTATTTGTTTTGATTTTCATTTTTGTGTTCTCTGTTTTGTTTTTGTTTCTTGTTTTTGTTTGTTTGTTTTAAAAGAGGGAGCTAAAGAACATAAAGTTGGGTGGGTAAGGAGGTGGGGACCTGGGAAGAATCAGGAGAGGGGAGAAGCATAACCAAAATATATAGTATGAAAATAATTTTAATTAAAAATTATGAAAATTGAAGGGGGAAAAAAAAGTAGATCCAGCTTCGTCCTCATTTCAGTCTTTCTCCAAGTTTTGTTTGGTTGAGAAGGCAAAGAATTTTCAGGGAAAAAAAAAAACAAAGTACGGTCAGTATTTATTATTTTTTCAGTATTTATTTTTTAAGATTCATTTATTATGTATACAGCATTCTGCCTGCATGATATGCCTGCAAGCCAGAAGAGGGCACCAGACCTCATGATAGATGGTTATAAGGTGCTGGGAACTGACCTCAGGACCTCTGAGCCTTCTCTCCAGCCCCCAGTATTTGTTAATACAACTTCTTTGCTTATAAGTCATTGGCAAAGGATGTTGTTCGGAGGGACCAGTCACTCAGTCCTGTATTCACAGACTCAGATAACCTGGAACACCTACATGAAGACAGGCAGCAAATAATAGGAAAGCTATATGCACAATCTTATCCTGAGGAGTTTATTACAGATACCGGGATAACATGTGACAAGCAGGATGGGCATTTTAAAGAGTACCATTCCGTGGTATTAAATACTTTCACCAGGCATGGAGTGTCAGAGGTCTGAAAACACCCTGTTGCCGTCAGGGCTGGGAAGTTCAGCTTAAGTGTCCACCCTTCTTCTCTCACAGATTTGTCAGGCCACTGGCTAGCATTGATCAAACACATCCTGACCCTGAAAGATGCTTGGAGGAATATGAACAAACACACCAGATGACAAGTTCTCCCAGCTTAGGGAATTGGATTGTCTCCATTGCCACTGATGGGGCTTGTCTGGCTTCTGCCTTAGGAGTCTGGGTATGACATATGGGGATGCAGGATCTCTGCTCACAGAGACCCAAGCAGTACCACAAGAAGGGGATCGCTGCCAGGTACCAGAGTCACTATTTTCCCCAGTTTGTGTCTGAATGACCAGGCCCACCAACCCAAGCAGGTTTCTTTCCAACCCAAGGAAACCTGAGGAGACAGCTGCTTTAGTCTTGCAATTCCAGCAAACACAATCTAGAGATAAGACAGGGCGGGCCTGTTCCTGCTTGTTATTCTTAGAGAAACTGTGTACTCATGGGGCCCGAGCTCAGCCACAATCTCTCCCCTTCCTCCGGGCTTACCACGTATTTCACCAGCTCAGACACCCTATTCTACAATGGCCATGAGCAGGAAAGAAATCTGGGGATTTCGTAAAACAGGAGATTTAGAGGATTGAAGAAGGGGAGGGGTGGCAGCAGAGGATGATCTTGTTTAAAACAAGACAGAGTCTGGGTGTGAACTGGTGTCCGAGTACTCCGACCACCACAGCAGGAAAGGGTTGAGATGGGGGGTCCTCACCGCACGGGGGTGTGAGGACTCTGACTCATTTGCTTTTGGCTTCCAACAGCTCAGAAGTCACACACAGAGAGAACCTGTGGTGACAAGCATCATCACACCATACTGCTTCCACAGTGCAGTTTCCCTTAGTAGGTGGTAGATTTTCTGGGAAGACCTCAAAGTTAAAACTGAAAGTGCTTGATCCCAACAGCAGGACTGGGAGCCATGGACAGCTATCTTAGTGTAAGCTGCTGTTGAAGTGACCACAAGGACTGGGGCCTCTCTGGCCTCTGGCCTACAGTCTCCATGCCCCACGGGGGATGGCAGGTAGGGTGTTACTTTGTAGGATCCCATTCTTTCCCAGCAGTGATTCCTATGCCTAAGTGAGTTTATAAAGGCAAACACCCGTGCCTTATGACTACCTGTCTCATGAGTGAACGTATGGGCACAACCTGCAATTCTCCATGCTGTGAGAGCAGTGATGGAACCGCTCTGCCCAGAGCACAGCACACGTGAGGGGCAGGGTAAAGGCCAGAGAGGTAAGGCTTCTCACAAAAGACAAAAGCAGCCTATAATGGGAGCCTCACCCAGCAGGGCACAAGGGACTCATCCTCCTTACCAATAGGATCACCATGGTGGGACAATGGGTCATCTATTTCTCTGTGGCCAGTTAGGGGGAAGGGTTGGGCTTAATGTCATGGCCCTGCCCAAATATCCCATGAGATACTTGGTTCCTGATGTTCAGAGCCTCCTTGTCCTTGAACTCCCTTCAGACTCACTCTTGGAAATGAGCTGTGGGTTCTTGTCCCCACAGGAAAGACTCAAGCCAGGTGATCTTTGTGTAGGCCTGCTAGCCTTCCATAGCCCTAGTTACAATATGGTCAGAGTGGACATTCCATCAGGGAGGACCATCAGGTCCGGCTAGCTTCTGTATACTCCCTTTCCCATGGACCCTCCTAGGCCACCTCTAGAGCCCAAAGCATCCTTCTCCATGATGCCTAAATGTGAAAAAAGAACCATCTGGATAATTTACCACTCATGAGGATCACAGTCTTTGGCCATCCTCCAACATTCAAGTGGGGAGCCACAAAACTAGCCTTGTCATAGCTCGCTTCCTTCTCAGCATCCGGGCTCCATACTCTCAGGCAAACAAGAACAGATGCATTCTGAGACAGCCAAGGATCTGTACAGGCTCCAGACCAAGAGACTGTACCAGGCCCCAAGACTTCATAGATTCTGGGGAGGGAGGAATGCCATCTTCCATCCTCGGCTCTAAATGCCTTAACGTACTCTACTCTCTCTGGAGCTCAATACTTCGTGCGGCCCCAAAGAGCAGTCTTTGTCTTAGTCAGTCTTCGTCTTTTGCATCCTAAACCATTTACCTACCATCTGGCATTGTTAACCAGCTTCCTGATCTCATCACCCCTTTCCTTACTGTCATCCTCCTCCTAGGTTCTTCCTCCTATCCCCTAGGGTTACTGTACCCCAAAACTGTTCTATTCATAGGAGATGCTGCATCTGGGCAGTGCTGTCCATTCTTAAGGCTTTGGGTACCAGCTCGAGGTTGAGAAGCCTCAAGTTCCTCCTTCTAGACTAATCTCTCACCGTAAGCTGGGCTTCTCTATCAAGAAACTCCTCCTGGGGTCCAGATGCTCTCTGTTCCTACTTTTCTCGGCCAGTGGCTCCACAGCATCCAGGCACACACATAAGACCAGGTAAGCTGGGATTTCTCTCTTCCTCACACTCACTGGGCTCCTCCCAGTCTTTCCCCATCTGGCCTCTGTGTCCCTCTGCCCACTCCCCCTGCATAGGGGTCCAGATCTTCTTCCCACATGCAGCACATCAACCCACCCAGCATGCAGCTGCCCTAGCTCTTTCTCCAAACACTGAGGTGAACACGAGGCAACATCTCCTACACTTGGGTGGCCCCAGTCTCCTTGGTAGAGCCCTCAGGACCTCCTCTAGCCTCCACTGTCCACATCCATACACTTCTTCAAGGCCTCTGGAGTCCCTGCTGAAGCTGTATCACCGCCTCTGAAGGGAGCTGTGTACCTCCGAGCCTTGCACCTGTGGGACCCACGGCGTGACCTTTCCACTCTCCTCACCCTGTCAGCACTTCCTCCCTCTTTAATCAAGGTTGGCTTTTTCACGAAGCCTCATGCTGAAGGATGATCACTAGCAGCCCCTTGCCTGCACTTCAGGGGCCCCAGCAGATGTCTCTATGATAGAATGGATGCTCTGCCTGCTAAGACTACAGCCTCCCAGGGGAAAGACCAGACTGTCTATTGCATTTGTAGCCCTAGCACAGAGTACAATGTTAAAGGTTTCTGAAGGCCTTTGAAAGCATTTGCTGGGAAAGCAGATGGCTGGGTGGAGTGTGGATGCCTTTGAAGAAAGAGACTTTGGTATCTAACATTTGATGAAGGAGCCTCGCCCTCATCCACATATTGTATAAAAGTCTCCCTCTATCCCCACTCAACAAAGTGGGTGCAGAATTGGCTTCATAGCCCCTCTCTTGGCATCCTCGACAGATAACTAAATAACCCTCACAATTACTATACGTTCTTGTGGCACATGGGAAGCTATTTTTCTACTAAGGTTTGATTCTGATCTCTCCAAGCATTGTTATGAGAGCAGGGGCTAACTCCTCCCTCCAATATGACTATCATTTGGAAAAGGTCTTGCATGTACCAAAAATCTTGGAAAGTGTGATATGAGCATTCCCATCACTGAGTAAATACATGCATGAGAACATCACAGCAGGCAGAATCCAGAATCATCCCTTCTGTTCACTAGGCCTGCTCTCAGGACCACAGGCTGTGATCCCATGCTAGCTGCCTCCTTGCCTCAGGAGATAAGGGTGCCACACCTACCTCGATCTTGGAGAAATCTGAGCCCACCAACAGCAGGACCCTCTTGTGGACTCACCATGTTCATGACAGTGAGGATGAATCTCTGTGCAGCCTCTGCCCCGTGGTACTGCACCATGTCAGCATCAGCCACCACGAGGGTCTCCACCGTGTGCTCGTTGGTGAGCCTGATAGCATTCCTCCGCTCCCTCCAGTCCTGAGACAGCTTGCCCTTCCTGGGCTTCTTTTCTAGAAAATGACAGAGACATTTGTGCAGTTCTCAGCTTACTGATTTATGAAACCATACCATGAGAGGTCCCAAGAATATGGTCAGTCTCAAGTGCCTATGGATGAACCCAAAGTTGCTGATCTCCATGGTTACATAGGGTAGCCCAAGTTCCCAGCCACTGGTGGTACCATATGGGAGCCAGAGAATGAGCCGACAAGTTCTCTGTATGGGGAACCGTCTCTGACCCACACGACAGGTGGATATGAATGGAGTGCACCCTTGGAATCCAAATGTGAAAAGCAATTTGGTATTTCCATCTTAGCAGTGGCTTACACGGAAAGGGCTCTGCTACATCGTTCACGGAGTAAAACACCACATGTGTGCTGAATCTTTGTAAAGGTGACGGATCATTGTAGGTGCAAAAGTCGACAGCATGAACATCTCTGGGTGGGGTTTGGGAAACAGTAACGCTACTCAACCTGTTCCACAATCTTGAGAACCTGGGATGATTCTTATCAAAATCCCTAAGTGTAGAGAAAGCTGACCAATGATAAGTCTGTCTAGGGGAGTCTATAATATAGAGAAACACAACCATAAATCTGTATAGACAGTTAAGTCCCCATTTTGCAGGAACACCATATGAACACATACTTTCAGGGAAACAAGTAAATGAGCAATGAAAAAGTAAAATGTTAATGGTGGGTGATATATAATATTCATTTTATTGGCACTTTCCAAATCTATACAATGAACAAACAGTAAGTTATTTATTCACTTATTTGAAGAAATCTGACTTTGTGAAAAATACAGAAGCCACTTTTAAACTCTAAACGATAAAACAGAAGGTACCGGGAAGCAAAACATGTCACCAGATTCGTCAAAAAAATTGTAAAATGTAAGAAGGATGTCTCTTAACCCCTATAGACTGTTCTGCTTCTGGCAGCCTTTTGAGCCTCACAGGGGAACTAGATCAGGACAAAGGGTGAGGTCTCAGATGGCATTGCCTTTGCACACAAACAGAATGAATGAGGTTCTTTGGACTCGTACCCATATCCACTAAATAGTGATGACCACCTTCTGGTCTCTCAACACTTGCCAAGTCCAGGTGGCTTGGATATGACCAACCTGCTAATGGAGAATTTGTAAAGAGTCACTGTTTCATTTTAAAGCAACAGAGTTCTGGGATATCTGTTCCCAAGGAGGAACTTCAGAGGAACCTGCATGCCAGCCTTCCCCCAGGTGACTGAGTAGCCACAGCTCACCAGTGTCCTCAGCTTTTCCTAATGTTTGCTTAGACTTCATCTCCAGATATCGTCCACTAGTGTTCTCACCTGCAGACATTCCCACCGACTGTTCACACTTGTGTTACAGTGACTCCGAAACAACTATCTTCATTGCTATTTTATAACTGTGATTTTGCTACTGTCATGAAGCCTAATGTAAATGTCTGATCAGACATGCAACACCCCCTGGAAGGGTCATTGGACCAGCAAAGGGGTCGCGACTCACAGGTTGAGAACCATGGCTCTAGGCAGTCTTCAAACCCTAGATTTAGGGACCAGAGATAGGACATTGTGGACTGGAATAGTCTTCCAATGCAGGTAACCCTCTAGGGGGTGGGACAGGTTGAAGCCCTTGAGAGGGAACCTGTCTTCCCCACATCTTACCACCTCCCCCTACTTAGTGCTCCATGCCTGTTACTGCACTGAGGAGAGAGCCTCAACACTCGGACCTAAAATTCCTTAAGTGGATAAATACACCCTGATAGACAGATCACAGATACCAACGTGTTCATCAGCACCTTCAACATAAAAGAAAAAAGTCTCGGGGTTCACACAGTGCTGGGTTCCTCCATCACGAGAGCGATCGAGTGTAGGTGGCAGGCTTGTGACTAGATGGGGGAATGGTCCCCAAGCTCTGCTGAGCCACCATGGGAGTGACAGAGGCCCTCATATTGACAACGAGGATGCATCATGAGTCATTTCTGAAGCCACGCCTGAAGCTTCCTTTGACAGCACATTGCTGAGTTAGTAATCAGCTGGGGATCTTAAAGAACGCCCTCCATATATTTTATTTTGCATTTATTCTCCTTTTACTCCGGTTAACCAGTAAAGCAGACAATTTGACATATTTATATAAGACACTCCAGGCCTTTTGCTATAAGGCAAGAAGGTGGAGGGGGAAGCTATGAAGCTATAAAAGGCAGTCTAAATGTTAAACATTTTCAATACTCAAATTATGATTTGTCCTACAAGTTTGAGAACTGTCAAAAGTGCTGAGCAAACAAACACATTTGGGGACTGATAAGAGCGCGTGAGTGTGAGGACCTGAGTTCAAATCCCCAAAGCCATGCAAAAATCTGGGTGTGGTTACATACATGCCTGGAACCAGGCCTATGGAGCTGGGACAGATAGGAGAATTCACTGGAACTTCCAAGTGACCCTGTCCCAAAGGACTAAGTGGGCAGTAAAAGAGCAGAACACTTTATGACCCCCCCGGCCTCTGTATATACATAGAGGCACATGTACCTGCACATGTATGTGTACATATACCATACAGTACACATCTGCTACACTCATACATATAAACACACATACTAAAACTACATAAATGGTTATGGAGTTACTAATTTTGTTCTTAGAAAATAAAAAGATTCTCAATTATTAGTCAACCAATCCAATGGAATAAATATTTTTTATTAAAAATCAAAGTATCAGGCTATGGGTGTGGCTCAATGGCAGAGGGTTAATCTAGCTAGCATGCTTAAAGCCCTGGGTTTCATCTCTAGCTCTAAAAAAAGTAATAATAATAAAAGCATTTAAGCATTCTCTGTGGAAAAAATAAAATATTAGACATGAAGTTCCTCCCTAAATTCCTCCCTCTCATGCTGTGCAAGGCTCTAGTGTCCTAAGGTGTCCTAAGGCCATTTCCAATGATGGTCTCAATGTGCTCTTTGTGCCTAGGCACAGGAAGAACATGTCTTTTCCCATCACAGAAGCAAATTAGAGAGCCGAGAAAAACAGAGTGGAGGAAATACAGGCAGATGCCCAAGGGCACTGGGCAACCTTGAGTGGACAGGAGAAGGCACTTCAGGCCAAGGTGTCAAAGACCAGGGGCACAATTGGGAAATGTTGACAGCTAACTATGATCACTTTGGTGTCAGCCTTTCCCACACCAGCATTCCAAGGCGAGAAACAAGAATGTGTTCTCGCTGTGACTTATGGGACAGAGGACAGCCAGAGGCCAGAGCATCAGAACCAGACCTTGTCTCAACCACATAAACCATTGGCCTTTTCCAGCTTATCCGTAAGCAAGGTGGGATTCCAGGAGACCCTATACACCAGTGTGGTGAGTTATAAAGAATTTGCCTGGGTCAAAAGGGAGGCTATCTGTCCCTTATTGAAACCTTGCAGCTCTGAGATGGAGGCTGTAATTAGGCCAAGCCAGCATGAGAGACAGGGGGACCGAGAGGAGAAGACCCTGGGTGCCTTTTTCATTTCAGTAACCTCTGCATACAAGAGTAAAGAAGACTTGCTGTGTCCAATGTCATGACCAAAATCCTTCACCATACCTTCCCCCCTGTAATGGACAGAAACCCTCTGAAATCATAAGCCAAAATAAATCATACCCAAGCCTCCTCCTGGTGCCTCAAAGGGACCACAGGTGATGTATTTTTTGCTGTCCCGTCCCCCTCCCACTGTGCCCCATCTGATTCTGGAGCAAAACACTGCCAGAGACCTGAGTATCAGTCTCTCGTCTGAGTCACCATCTGACAGAACCCAGTCAGGGAGTTGCCAGTGATGGGTTAACACAGGCTAGACTTGTTGATACCCTAGTATTCCCACATCCCAGGTGCCAGGACCATGTTGCCACATCAAAGTCAAGGTGGAGCTTGGGCTGGATGGGACCAGCACATGCTTGGGCATGGTATGAAAGCCCAAAAACACAAAGCTTATACAGTCGATGTTCTCCAAAAGAACTATCAGTTCAAAAGGGAAAAAAAAAAAGACAGAAATGTCTTTTAAAAATAAATAAGTAAAATTTAAAAGCAAAGAACCTGTCCATAGAAAACTACCTTTCTCGCTGAAAATGATGACCCATATGACCCTGAGCTCCTAGCCAGGTAAACTCCCCCCTCACAGCTGTATAAATTCCTTGAAAAATAATGCCCTCCTATTTTTTGTTTCTTACAAGAAAGAGGAAAAAAATCTTTTTTTCTCTCCAAGTACGAATTCTTTAAATAACTTCCTCCAAGGCCAAGTCGTTTTTATAAAAGCTATCCTTTTTTTCATGTAAATTCCTTTAAAAGAAAGGTGGAAAAATAGTTACAGGGTTTTTTTTTTCTTTGTGTGGTTAAGATTCCAAGCAAGGAGTTGATACCCCTGAAGCTCAAAATCATGTCTACACTAGGCAGTTTGTTGTGACCCAGGTCTACACTCTGCCAAGGGCACAGGGCCAAGGTAGGAAAGCTGCCCTGGCCCCATGGGATCTTTCCAGTCATGCTCAGAGCCACAAAGACACTAAGCATGCAAAAACCACTGCCTATAAGTACAATCAGAAGATATTCAGTTACTGGATATTTATCAAGGATCTGAGTGTGGTAAACACTGCCACAGTGTTGAGGACCACTGGGAAGGAGTAGACATTAACTAAATACGCAGGCAACACAATTTAAAAGTACACATAGCACAAGTGTGGGGAAGAAGCAGCAGACATTGCTACAAAATAATCTAAGGGAGGAAGATAAGTGACCACACTTTAAACTAAGGGCTTATTGGCTTTGCATTACTGCACTGAAATGCGCAAGACAGTTAACATTACAAAGAGAAAAGGTTTATTTAGTTCACTGGTCCAGAAATTTCAAAAGCATTGGCTCTTGTGTTAGTTCTGTTCTAGTGAGGGTGGCAGATGGTGACATAAGGACACAGGTCCTTGATAACTATCCGTTAACTGAATGTCTTATGATTTCACTTGCAGGCAGTGGTTTCTGTATGCATGATGTCTTTGTGACTCTGGGCAT